TGACTAGATGAGGCTGATGTAAGGAGCCCAGCATGGGTAACCAAACTCCAAGGCCTTGCTTCGGTAAATGGAGTTTCTTTGTTCCAACCAGGAGAGCTGCAGCCGACTAGATGAGGCTGATGTAAGGAGCCCAGCAGTATGGCAGGGGAGACGTGAGGAATCACAGCTCAGGCCCCTTCCTCCGATTCACCAGCAGCAGGGAAGTGCCCCTCCTGCCGGCTGTTGTGCCCATGTTACGTCTGCCTAGCCCGTGCCTTGGGAGAACTGTCTTCTCCCCACGGCAGTACTGACTGAAGCCACGTTTCTGAGTGAAAAATCTTGGATCAGGACATCACCGACCAGTTTGATGATGGAGCCTGTAACCACACACACAACTACCCAGCTCCCAGGCCGGCGCTGTACAGAGTGCTGCTGTTTTACAGCTGGCCTGACCTTTTCTCATGAATATCAATGGGAGTTTTATTCTTGACTTCAAAGCCAGTGTGACTGAGCCCCACATACCACATAGTTGAGCAAGTGAGAAAACAATTTCATCACCAGGTGGACAACTGGTTTGGCTGAACAGACAGCTCCCAAACTTCTGTCACGGCACAACCAAGGACACGGCAGCAGTGACCATACAACACTGTCAAAAAAAAAGATAAATACAAGGGAAGGGAAATAATGCTAAATGACCAAATCCTCTGAGAAGCAGAAGCTAACGGAACAATGGTAAAAAGTAAAAGGTAAAACTTCCTTTGAGAGCAGGTTCTGCTCTCTGGTCAGCGTAACACAGCATGACACACCAGCGCTTTGAGGAAAGTTAAAGGTATGTATTTGTCTCTCAGCAACGTATCCAACGTAACACTCTCTCACTACCGTCAGAATAACGTCGTATTCATTCATAACATTTTCCTCCGCTCAGTGCAGGCAGACCCTGTAACATCAGTAATACTAAATTCCACCTCAAGCACACCCAGTACACACACACACACACAAAATCTCATATTTAAAACTATTAAAACACAGAGCTTGCTTAAAACTTCATTTATTTGTACTGTAAGCCAAAGGATCTTAATCAACACAGAAATGCACTGCTAGGCCTCCTTGGGAGCTATAAACAATTGGTGCACTTGTCAAATAAGAACATACAAGCAATGAAATGCTAGAGAAAAGGCACAGAGTTCTTTACACATATGCTCTTGTTGTGTACCCCCCCCAAACACACAGGAGAGCAGTTTCCAGTTTCCACCTGTAAGCGAAACGAGAGCAGAGCTATCTAAGCCCACTCTGGAACACGCAGACAATTAGCCTAGAAAAACTCTCCCGTTACATAAACGATACAACCGAACGCTCCCCACTCCGGCAGCTCTTTGTTGTACAACGCGCACCGGTGGCCTGACACTTTCTCAAACGGCTTTGGGCTAAAAGGAGGTGCTCAGCAGCTCGTAACAGAAAGCCCCTATTTACCCATCTTCGGCGAGTTCGAGTACAATAGAGCAAGTTTAAAACCTGAATATTTGGCGCTGATACAGCAAGGACTTGGTTACATGCTTAACTTTATGCATTGCATATAAGCCCTCTGACTACACAGGCAAAATTTGGAGCATCAGACACTTGCTGGGTCAGGGCTTGCGTTCAGATAACCCGGGCACAGGTCTCTGGGCTGCATCTTTTCCAGTGCCAAAGGCGGTTCTTTTCCCTTGCCCTCCACACCTTCCCTGTGCTGGAGTTTCTGTTCATTTCAATCAAACCGTTTTGGTTTCTCCCCTGTGTTACAATGACACTGCTCAAGCTGTACATTAGCAAAGGTGTTTTGGTTACATGGTACCACTGGAAATAACTAAAATACATAAAAGGGAGGGGAAATGAGGATGTAAAGTCTAATTAAGTATTTACATATCCCATTATTACAATAAATGAAGGCTAATTAACAAGGAATTAGCCGCAAGTATGAAATACAAAATGAATTAAAACTGGTTTCTAAATAAGATTAATATTAGAATCAACTACTGCTAAAACCAAAATACAATATGGTTTTGGAAGCTGTAATAAAAACATAAATTAATCATTCTAACAACAACAAAAAAATCAAAGTTACATAATTCTTTTAAAACATTTTGGAGAGCTCAAATTATAGCTTTTTTCTCCTCAGAAAAAGCACAGCAGGGGGGGAACCTCCCCCATTCTTCCTGCAAGCTGATATTACATTAACAAAAGTCTTCATGTTAAAGCATACACTTCATATATTTTAATAGCTGTTGAGAACATAACACAGTTCTTTCTAAACATAATGTAGCACCTCCTGTAAACATAAAAAGCACTGTTTTAATCTCTAATCATTTAATATGCAATAATGCCTTTGTTTTATAATGAATTCCATTCCTTCATTTTAATGTGCCCATAGTTGCAGGGTTCTGCTGAATCATAGCTTACACAACCACAGCCTCCCAAACTTCAGAGGCTTAGCACCATAGTTGCAACTGTCTGGGCAACACGACTTCTGCTCTGCAACCTCCTGTGGCTTGTAGATACCCTGGAAATAACGAGGGATTCGGAGCGCCCAGCATGCACCTCATCTAGCCTCCTTTGACCTACAGTCAGCTTTACCCTGATACTTGAAAATAAAGATCAAAAAGCAAGCTAATATTTTTCACAAGTTCTCGGTATCGCTAGCCTAAAAGGTTTACCTGGCGTATGGCAGGCGTACGTTACCTTACAGTTTTTAAAACAGCACGTTGAATTTTCCTTTCACTGCTCTCTGGCTCCAAAGGCTCCAAGGTTCATTTGGGTTATGTTTTCAAACTCTTCTCTGTAGCTAGAAATGCACTGTTCTTTTTAACTAAAACTTCAGGTACAAACAGAAAACGCTAAGGCAAGTTGTGAGCGGCAGTAACATCTACGCTGAAGTTTAAACGCCTTTCCGGGTCCCTGGCTTCCCACCGAAATCGATGCAGAGCCGCCTCTGTCCTTTGCACGTCGAGTTACGCTCACGTGGCAAAGGCTGCACGATAACACGAGTGGCTGATCAGAATTTGCAGCAAACAACAGCCGCTCCTGTTCGTCACGAGCATGGAGCAGCAGTGACATCGCTGGGACCCAGAGCGTATGCCCCGCGTGCCAAGCCTCTCTCCTGGCACCTCCTCTACTCGGACAACTCGGTGGCGATGCCGTTTGCCATGCTGTGGCATCCCCCCAGCATGCTTGCGGATGTGTCACGGCCATTTTCACACTCTAGTGTTTGGAAAAAGTTTGTCGGCATGTCACCCCGTGCACAGGCTGTTTCTCTGGCAGCCTGAGGCGCCAGCAGGGCCTGCGTCTTCCCGCCTCAGAGGGGAACGGGCAAGCTCCAAGGACTCTCTCTTGGAGTCTGTCTTTTTATGAAACTGTGCGTCAGTCCTGACTGGACAGGGTACAAACACCCCAAACTGCAATTCTTCAGAAATCCTACTTTTTGACCTAGGAAATTTACCCTTTCCCTCCTGCACGCGCCCCAAATTATTTATCTCCAATCAATGTACGTTACACGTACAGGTTATACCAACTCTATCAGTGTTCCTTTCATTAGAGAAAAGCCTCAGGTACCTCACCCTCCTCACCCCTCTCCTACTTTCCCTATTAGATATAAAAGTGAGTAGTTCCAAGTAATGGCTACTTTTTTTTGCTGAACAGACTTGAAAAGCAAGATCATTTTCTCTGCTGTTTTCTTCAAGCACTCACCTACAGACACCCCTCAGGGCTTACACTTAGAAATGTGTACACACAAACAACCCTCTGGGAGTCTGCTCTCCTATCACTGCTTTTTAAGTGTCCTTTCAGTTCCCCAGTGACTTATCCCGAGCTCCTTTCACCCACTGCAAGTTTTAACAAGCTCTTGTCTGTGCATATCATAAGATGATCATCATACTTTCGAAATCTAAACTAAACGAAGGATTTTAAATAAACATCAAAGCCACCTTGTACCCCCTTTCACTTCAAGGCTATTCATTACGATCCTAGCATAAAACTCTCCACGTCCAGGAACAAAGCACCAGGCAGAAATACATTTCCACGCCCCAGGTTTCTGGCGAAGCAGAAAAGGGGAGTCAGAGGCATCATTCGCAGTCTCTCCAACCCACAGGGACGGCAGAGCGGCTGTCGGGGACACGCCATTGCAACTGTGCAGGAAACAGCCATTAAAGAGGAAAACAGGGCAATAGCACCCGGGTTTGTACTCTTCAATCACAATATTCTTGGACTGTGTCTAACGTAATTAGTACTATCAGGTTAGGGAACACATTCTTAAGACTGTAAGAGACTGGAAGGGAAGACTGTGACTGCACCCCACACAAGAAAGGATCCTCTTGCTGTTCTCCATCAGCTGTGCAGGTGCCACAGCTTCCACCGCATCCCCCTCCCATTTCTTGTACATGGTTTTCTATTTATGCTGTAATTATTTTCCTTCTAGTTCCCTCATGAGAAGCCCTCACAAAACTGCTGAAGAGCAGAAGGGAAGAATGACAATCACTACACAAAAAGTGCTGCAAAATACAAAGCAAATAGGCACTTCTATTCCCCTGATCTTTTTAAGTAGGAGAAACCTTAGGTCCTACAAGTGAAGAATAGCAGGTAATATACCTTCAGACAGAAGTGCAATTTTAAGCAAATACTTTCCCTTCACTGTAGTAAATTTAAACTCATCCTATCACAAGAGTGATCTTTTCTGTAATTCAGCATTCTCATGGCAGTTAAGAATACTTGCCCTATCATTTCTAGAGTTATATTCCCTACGTTACATAGCTCAAATGATAACTTCTTTGTCAAGCCCAAGATCAGCACAAGCTCTTGCACAACTTCAAAAAAAAGTTACAGTGAACACAGCCGTACCAAAACAACCAACCAAACTGATCTCGTCAAATAAAAGTGAGAATCATCACCTCTGCCCATTGCAACCGAGAGTAAATGTAGGAAGAGGACAAAAGGCCTAAGAAAGGACAGTTTAGGTAGACTCCTAGGACCTCCTGTTTTTGTAATTTATGGGGTTATTAGGAAACTGGATAAGGAAATTTTTAATTCTGAGTTTCAGTAAAGTAGTTCACACTCTTCAGTCATACGCTTCGTGAGATGTGGTGCAAGAATTAACAAAACTCTGCGTAAGAATACAGGTACATTTAGTATCTGTGGTTGGCCCCCAAGTAGACAATCACACGATTTTCATACACCTTCTTCATAGTTTTCTCAATTTGCTTCAAAAATACTTGTGGAATTCTCCCACATAAAGTGTGCACTGTATCCAGAAACTTAGACTGCAGAGGGTAGTACAAAGACTGGAAGAGATTGTCTTCAAATGGGAACTAAAGGAAAGAAAAAAAAAATTGTTAGTTTCCACTAGTTACAAAACGGCATTTTAGAAGTTTCTGTGAGATAAAACGCATTATAGGAAGGCGATGACTTGTCCCTCACCTTCCCAGAGCGTCAGCAAAGCCTATCGACTTCAAACACTGGTCTGCTCAAGAGCACTTGCTCTCAGAAAAGTTTGTCTGGGGCTATTACCTGAAACAGCCAGCTTCCCAGAAACGGCGCTTCTAGAGTCTGTATTTAAAGGAGGTTTCCCAGCATAGGGATACTGTAACGGAACAGGTATTTCAGAGAGTGGAGCTGTACACGTGCAACATTCAGAGTGGAAATCTGGACCTGTGTCTGCATGCAAGCTTCTGCCTCCCCTGTGCCCAGAGGCTCTAGGCACTCAAGAGAAGACAAGCTTTCATCGGGTATTTACAGACCCCCAGCGCTGCAGTACCAGCGGGAAGAACTCCATTCAAACACTTCTTTTTCAATCTCCAGTATTGTCAAAAAGCAATTTATCAGCATTTCTGATCAGAAGTTTACTATAATAGGAAGGCGGATCATTTAAACAACCTTAAATACACGCACACAGCAAGTCCGGAGAGGCCGAAGCAACCTCGTTACCCCGTGCCTGGTGGGTGTGCACAGGCACAACTGCGCTCAGCCTGGCCGGCTGGAGCAGCAACCCCAGCGAGCTGGGTCAGGCAGCAATCTGCACTGGAAGACAAGGACTACCTCTGCCAAGGTAGACGACTTACATCACGTATCACTTCATAGACTGCCTTGAAGGTCGGCTGTTTGTCATCATGGTAGACACCTCTGTTTCCATGCAGGATAGAGACACCTTCTTCTTCTGCACCTTTGCAGTTGCTTCCATACATGCAGTGATCGGGCCGGTAGTTCCACTGACATGGAAACACATAGAGACACTCTGCCAGCGTCGGTCAGGGGAGATGGGGGGTGGGGGGAAAAAGAAAAAAGAAACGTCAAGCAAGAGTTACAACAAACAAAACCATGTTTCTGTGAAAAAGCTGGGGCTGACCATCAGGAAGATTTCAGTTACTCCTTCTGCAAATATCCCAAGCAGCAGCTAGACACAGAAGCTTCCTCTCCTCAGGGGATGACTATACAGATCTCGGCACTGACAGACCTGAACTAACAGAAAGAGAGGGCAGCACAAGACTGGGTGCAAACATAAAGCAAGGGAGCATTTTACAAAGCTTAAAAGTGACAGAACCCAACGCAGAGTATGCACCAGGTGGCACTAGCCAGGCTCCTCTGCCCTGGCAAGAAGTTTCTGGAGTTACAGAAATTACTAGGGAAGCACATACAGCAGTGAGGGTTTTGCAAAATCCTGAATTCCTCTGGGGACAGCATGGGAAAGCTTGGAATGTTTGCTGCCGAAGCTTTCACTGAGGCTGTGACTGTTACACTGAGATACAGCAGAGCGTTACAGGTAGTGGATTTTATCCACGGTCCTTCTAGAAGCTGTCACCCATTAATTCCACAGGTCTAGGTTATTTAAAGGTGAGCCTAATTTCTCAAAAGGGCTTATAACCCTTTCTCCTACTGATTTTTTTTTTAAAAAAACAAAACAAACAAAAACAAAACAACCCTTCCTCTATGTACCCACAGTATTTACAATCTGGTTAACAGGTAGTGGATTTTATCCACGGTCCTTCTAGAAGCTGTCACCCATTAATTCCACAGGTCTAGGTTATTTAAAGGTGAGCCTAATTTCTCAAAAGGGCTTATAACCCTTTCTCCTACTGATTTTTTTTTTAAAAAAACAAAACAAACAAAAACAAAACAACCCTTCCTCTATGTACCCACAGTATTTACAATCTGGTTATAATAAATCATGCCAGTCCCTGTGACCTTTCTGCTTCAGAAACGGAGCACAATGAATCACTGCACTATGCTGGCAGGTCGTGTCAGAATCGCTGAAGACTGAATTCTTCACTTGGCCTTTCCCAGCTGCCCAGGAAGGCTGCAGCTGGTCCTGGGTGGTTCTTGAAGAAGCAGGAGAAAAAAATTTCTGAAACATTTCTTCCCTTAAGGCCTCTCTAGCAGGACCCTGAACAGAAGTTTGCAAGTACAGCTCATCAGCAGGTCACTGTGGGGAGAAGATGTCATCAGGTGCTTACTAGCTTTTGTACATGTCACTTGAGTATCCTTGATCTTCTCCTCCCTGCGACGCTTTTGTGGATTGTTTGCTGTCAGAGCTGGACTCCAACTCTAGCTGCTCTGCGAGCCTTCAGACCCACTGATCACCCAAACAGCCTCCGGAGGTGGGAAAAAGGGTGCAGCTCTTCAGGCCCCAGGTAACACCGATCCATGTGTTTTGAAGCCAACGCACTGCACCTACCGAAAGCCACCTGCAGCAGTCTTGACCGACTCCTTCCCAGGCCAGTCTCAACAACCCAGCAGTTTAAAACCTCAGGGAAGTCTAGTTTTCTGGTTTAATTGTATCCAGTTCTTTTGTTTTCTTTCCTTGTGCAGTCTGATGTTACGTAATTCATAAAAAATTATTTACCAGTTACAAGGAAAAGACAGACCATGGTGCAGAGAAGGGTCTCAATATGTGCATTTGATAGCGAACGCTCTCGTCACAGAATTAAAGTATTTTTGCAATCTTTGGGGTTTTTTTCTCCATGCTTAAGTCAGCAGCTTGAGTTCGACTTCACGACTAATCTTGCTTCTTTTCTTCCTCCAGCAGGCCCTATTCCCATAACATTACTTTCTTTTTTGGAGAGCAATTTGTGACTTCATAATGAAGATTTCTTTCACTTCATTTTTTCCCTAGGATTGAGGATCACACATGCTGTACCGGGAACGCTCGAGTTTGACATCTGTCTGCAGTAAACAGATGTTAGCTTATTGCTTTGCTTTTGCTCTCTCCTTTTATTTGCCTGGATTTGGGTATAACCAATTACCTACCCTACAACTCCTCAGAGAAAAGGCAACAGAATAAATAAAGATAAATCCAACTTACTCTGTCCTTAAGATCACTTGAGGGAATACAAAGTCACACAGAAAACAAGGAAAAGTAAGTAAGAATGGAGACTCAGCAGCCATTCAGAAGCATGAAGTAAGGTTCTCGGCTTCTCTGGGATGCCACAATTTTGAAAACCTTGCACTTCTCAGATGTTACTGGTTTTGGGAGCGCCTGAAGTGATTTCCGTGTGATTAGTGCAAAATATGTACTGGCTGAATTTCCAGAAACTGCCTCAGCGCTTGTAGAAAAAGTCACACCCTTTCAAAGTAAAGATGCCTGAGCTTGCCAGTTCCTTGGAAATACACACTCATGAGAAGACAACTCCAGTCCAAGAGGAAACGAAGGACAAACCAAAAAGGTCACAACCTGTTTATGGAGGCATAGTCCTAGAGTGACAGGCAGGAATCAAATACGGCGTTTTGCTGGGCTGACAAGTACACACACACTGGTCACGCTGGCCCACACTGGGACAGGTGGGTTACGTCACCTGTCCTCCGAGAACAAGGACTGGAGAGACCTGGAGCCCTCCGTAGCTCTTCATAGTCCCAGGGCAGAGTAGAAAATGCACAAACCTAAGCAGCAGAATACAGACGGCGCCGTCCTGGTGCCTGCTGAGGCTGGACCATTCAGCTGAGAGGCTGGAAGCCCCTTTCTCAAAAAGTACCTTTTAGTGAAGGAGCAGAAGGAGGGAGGGCAACGGTTTTAGATGAAATACTCCAATGGCTGTGTCCATTTTCTGTTTATATTAGCTTTGTTACTCGTTTGCATAAATATGGAATTCAGCTGAATTGCAGGAAAACACAGCATAGCTTTGGAGAAAGTTTGGCAATTTCACATTCAGATAAACATCTGAAACAAAAACAGTTTTTTCAGCTAGGCGCCGGTCCAGTGATGCTCTTAAGCACACATACAACTTGGACTTCATCCCTGCATTTATACGTCCTTATTTTCTCAGAATCTCCAGAAAACAGATGTACATACTCAATGCAACCAAGTCCAAGTCCCACTACTTGCACCCTTTCAGAAGGATTTCCATACTTCCTAAATCTTAGGTGCACTTGCACATTAACTTCATGCCAGAGGACATTATGCACATTATAAGTAACAAACAGCACTTTTAATTTTTCAAGTTCAAGAAATTTTCTTAGCACGGGTAATCACGACTCCAAGAATCATTACTTACCTGGGTTAAAGTAAAAAATTATATTTAGTAAATCCTGGTCTCCCCACGTAATGTAATTTTTGTACTTTTGGTATAGTGGGTATAACATTTCCTCCCAAGTCAGACCACTCGGCATCATGCTGTTCTGCAGGGCAGGAAAACAGAAGCAGTGGGTTAATCCTGGAACAGTGACGGGATCGATGACTCAGAGTGCGGCACCCACGTATCGGTGAGGCTGCTTAGCCCTGTCAGAGAGCTGGGTGAAAAATGAAGAGCTGCCAGGAAGCGTCAGACCTGGACCGCAGAGCGGACTGAGCTCCTGTTTATCTAAACAGGAAAGCAAGGTCTCCCGGGGCTAGCTCTGATGTCAGCTCCTGCTATTCACAATCTTCCTATTCTGAGCAACAGGAGGGAGAAAAAGTGGAAAAGCGGAAAAATGCAGGGACAAGGTGAAAACTGAGGTATGAAAGTGAGGAAAAAATGCAGACTAAAAATTACCTTCCCTGGGGATTATGATATTAAGAGCAAGGGCTTTTTTCACTCAAGCTGTTCCTGTAACAGTATAGGAACCCCCTGGCCACTGAGGAACAAGACCACTTGGGGTAAATAAATTTTTAAAGAGATCAGAGAATACACGCTCAATGAAACAGAGTTTTCACAAGTCAGGCCCTTCACAAACAAGGGGAGATGTCGGATGTCAGTGAAAATGTTCCCTTCTCATTTATACCCATCCATGGAGTCACTTGCTCTGCAGCAAGACACAAAATTCTATTTACAGCAGATGCAAAAAATCACCAGTTCCTCTAGATATTTACGTCAAGCTTCCAAATTCTAAAAACAATACAGTGACTGCACTGAAGATCCTGTATTTATTCTTTCATGTATCTTTCAAGGGAAAATGAAATGTTGAAGCAGCCACTTTTATACTGCTAACAGCCTGCTTCATCAGCGAGTTCTCAGTGCTCCAGCCACTCCAGGAAGTTTCACTTGTTTTAACAATAATTTTCACTTTTAGTATCCAATTATATATAGTCTGTATTTTTCAGATTCTTTGTGTTACAAGCTTTATATAATTTTATATACTGTTTTACCAGACATGAGACATACATAAAGCATTAGTTCCTGCAACAGCTGTATTTCTTCCCACCTTGAACTGAGTGTTGCGTATCCGTGTCAAATTCATTAGCATCACTCCAGAATTGACTCCAGTTGTCCCGTAATAAGGGTGACGCGCGAATCGACTGTACCAGCCAATCTTTGGTATTTCGTGTTCTGGGGCCATAGCAGCGAGCTGGGTGGAGTTGAACTCTTTCAGGACGTGCCAGATGTCATCGATGGGCCTCAGGAAGAGAACGTCAGTGTCCACGTAAAGGAGAGAATCCACGTCCTTCAAAATGACCTTTTGGGTTTGCAGAGCAAGGAGAGGAAGAGATGAAAAAGAAATCAAATAGATAACGGAAAGGAAGATTATTGGCAAAAGGTACTTTTATTTTAAACTGATAACTCGAAAGAGGTTATTGATTTATCAGCAAAATGCAATTACACATAGGAACAACGGTTATCAGGTTATCGGCTTGTTGTTTGTTTATTGGTTTTTGTTTTTTTTTAACTGCACAGCAAAACAGCTACCAGCCCACAGAAGCCAGATTCTAACCTCCATATGAAAACAGTAATCCACTGAGCTCTCAAAAATGCCTGCAAGGACTATTTCATATCAGCTGAGGAATAAAATACAAGGAATATATATTTACATAGCTTTGCTGGTTCTTTTCAAGATCTGTAAGTGGTGAAACATACGGCTTCCTCCACAGACAGAAAGGGTCAGCCAGTACAGCAGAACACTTGTCATCTCCATTTGGTCTCGTGTTTCCCTATGTCTTTCTAATGATTGGTTTTCCTGTGACAACCTTGTGCTCCTCGGAGACTTACGTTCAGTACTAATATATACAAATGTTTCACAGTAATTAAGAAAACCCTACTGATCACAAAAGTGTATAAGCAACCTCCTGAAGAACAAAAGTTGCTTGGGAAACAGAAAGATTCTGATCTCTGTTATCGGCCTCTCTACAGGAATAACCACAGCAAAGTTCGTCAGGTCAGAAGGGTGTAAACTGTAAATCAGAGCCAGGATATTTAATCTGTTCTTGTTGACAATGTTCCCCCTTGTGGCTATCCAAATCCTCACATGCTCATTCATTAATTTTAGTAGGGCAGATTGTATAGTGCTTCAACAGTCCAAGAAAACCCCCTTGATGTTTGCACCAGCTATTTGCAAGGCCGTGTGTTAAGTAATAAATACCACTAGCTGAAGGTGGACAGCAGTTCCAACTGCATTTTTGCTGCTCTTCTTCATTATCTGCTAAAACTGTCCAAAAATTCCTGAAGGACTGAAATTTTCTTACTTTGGTCTCATTCAAAAGCCCTATTTCTCTCTCTCTCTTGCTTTGAAAAGCAAATCCAAAAGGCTATTGACTTTCACCATGCCGTGGAACAGAACAATCGCTCTCTCATCCAATTGCAATGATACTAATGACAAACTCTCCTATTCATGCAGGTAACAATAAATTCATGAAAGAAACAGAATTTTACATAAATTGAAACCAATTGTAACTGAAGATTATCTGTGAAATAGTGAACAACATTAAGATTTTGAACAAGCAGGGGGAAAAACTACCTTTAAGCATGCTCAACAGGCAGCCTCTAAGTTGCCAAATCTGTGAGTACGGGCTTAAATGAGATTTTTCACCTGACTGAACAATTCAGAATCCAGACTGACATTTAGCCACGTTTAACAAATCCCTGATGTTATTTCTGACATGATAACTACATGTTTTTCCCACACAGCAGGACAAGCAGGAGAAGGCAAGCGTCTCTACACGTTAAACAAAAGTTATGCTTACAAGAAACTCCAAGTAAACAAGTCCAATACAATCCAGATCCCTCTGCTGGATGGAAGGTTATAGCAATGTACCATTTTTTCCATGAAAAAAACAAAATAGCATGTGGAGGTATCCATAAATGAGAGACACAAGTAGTTCAATGACACACTAAGAGCTCAGAGGTTAAGCATTTGCGAACTTTAAGTATCCTGAAGTCCAGTACTAAAAAAACCCAAGAAAAAAAGCCACCCCTTTAAATCAATGGAAGACAGACAGCTGAAAAGAAGAAAGCGTTTTTCAGCTTAAGGATATCTTGGATATTGTGTATTATCCTGTAGCACTAGAAGCCCTAACTCATAGGGACCTGCTATATGAAGTCATATAAAATCAAAATTTAGTCTGAGGCAGGAGATAACACATGACTACAAAGACAGCAGAGGATATTAGGCTTTGCCTGAGGGATCCGCTGCACACCGCATACACCACGTATGATTTTCTTCTAAGGGTAGAGAGACGAGTTGAGGCATTTTCCAGCAGAGGGTTAAGGGGGAAGTTTAACTGCTCCCAAGCCTCAGTGACAGCCTGGGCACTGCTTCTTCCAGCAGAAAACTGTTCTTTCAGCAACCTTACATATACACATAAATTTAAGTCTGTGGAAGTCAATGGGCTGTAATAATTTTCCTATATAAATGGATTCAAGCAGGTATTTCAGTTCTTTGTGAAGCGGGTGCCTACCAGCATTTGACCCCACGCTTTCTGCCTGTAGTCCTCCCCTCAGGATTCACCTGTTCTCCCTTCTGGTTTGCCAAAAGATCCTTCCCCCTCCTGTGTCCGAGGTATTGCCCTGCAGGGACACCCAACAGGCTAACAGAAAAGCTGGGCTACTTCCTTTCAGCCCTTCACACCTTTCTCTGTCACACGCGGAATGTTAAGACTTATTTAAAACCTGCAAATGGCAGTTTGAATTGGTGACATCCCCTTCTGGCTGTGCGTTTAACTTCACCTTGGGTAGGGCCGTTTCACTTCAGAAACTGCAGCTCTAAGAGTTCCTTGCACAGCTCCTGGGATTTCAATGGAGTTACACTGCGGATGAACTTCACTTCAACAACTCTGGCATCCCCAATGTCCCACAGCTTTCAGGTAGCTCTGTTCCCAAACACTGCTTCTAAACTAAATAGTTTTAAAAAATATATAATTTAGGCTTACACAGCCCTTAAAACAATATTTAGCTTCAAAAGCACCCAAGAGGGGACGATGCATTTTTGACTCTGCTGATGCTGAATGCCAAAAGCAGCTGAGTACCACAAGGCAACCTGTGGTACAGGAGACCTTGCTCCAGCTTGCTCTGCCTGACCCAGACGCCGAGCCTGCCAGGCGGGCTAACCGGCGGGACAGGACTGCAGGTCAGCAATGACACGCAGCTGACCTGGAGCATAAGCAACGTCAGACTGTGCCTGGCAGTCTGAGGTCACGCTGCCAGCCCAAACCGTGTAGACACACCTGACAGACTGTGAGTTTTGAAATGAACGGTCCGGAACATGGCTTGACTGTGCTTGTCTTCCTCCTCGCTCTACAGGCGCTTACAGCTTAAAAGAAGTGTGATTTTTTTGCAGCTATAGAGTATTCTTAGTAAATCTGTCAAAAAGTTCTGCACAGAACTGGCTATATTTAGCCTGACACTTCACTTAAATACGCAATTATCTGTAATTTGATTTCACAACTTCTGTTTCCATAGATTCTCCCTGTGCTAGCGAGGTTGGCAAAGTAATAACAAGCTACTGTGTAAACACATATTGGTGTACTGTGAAGCTGTGCTACCTAATGGTTTGCAACAGCTAGCATCGCAGTTTATCAGAGCTTTATCCAAAATTAGGGACAAATCACAAATCTTCATGCTAATGGAGCAGTACCACGAAGTTGATTTACTAGGCTTAATTGTAGTAAGCAATTAACTCAAGTTACAAAAGAGATGGAGACTTTTGTCTAGATAAGGTCCTGGCACCTATTCCCAGTGCGGCCACCGATCCACTGGGTTGGATACTTCAGCGTACTCAAGAGGACAGCTATAATACAGGGATATTGCTAATCTACCTTAAAAGCTTAAGTAGATTAAAAGTTTTGAGAAGGGTTCTAAATGTTAGTTACTATTAGAACTAAAATCATCCCAAAATCCCTTAAGCATTAGCTGACTGTTTTGGTAGCTCCAAAACGGCAATAGAGACAGCCGCAGGCCAGCTCTGCGGGCTGCAACATCCGTGAGACCACAAGACAGTTTTTCACCTGGTGTCTTACAAAACAGTTGCGACTGCTGAGAGCACTACCCTCCTAGCTGATTTTTAAAGTTTCATTTTGTGCTCACGTTAAGATCCACATCTTCTTTATCCCGTCTTTGCAAATCCCATTGATGGTTTTATTGTAGTAGACTGCAGCACGAGATTTAGACTTGCGAGATTACATGGAGGCTCAACCTACTTTCCCTGCATGTAAGTGGCAAACATACGATCAGACGTCGCAGGATGTCGCTACAAAATGTAGGATGCAGTATGATCTTCCTGAATATTTTAGCAACCCAAGCAGATTCAGCAAGTTGGGAGCACGTATGTCAACCTGCTACCCAGGACAAAACAGTTTGTTACTATGAGCTGCAGAATCACATCCCACAGCTCTAGTTTTATCAGTGAGTAAAACCATTGAAAGATTTTATTTTTTTTTTAGCACAATTTTCCCTTAACACATTCTTCATACCCTCCTGTCCACTTTCACATGCCTGCTGGTGCTGCAGGAGAAAGATTTCTTTGACAGGGGAGGCACTTGTGAATCAAAGACTCACATTCCACTCGGGCTTAGCATTATCAGGAGGAAGACAATTTGCACAACTGAGGGCTAAACAGCTGATAAACTCAACTACTGCTCTCCTGGGGTCCTCCCTAAATCCAGCCACATTTCATGTGGAGAAAATGCTTAGGACAGGGAAGGATAAGGAAAAAAAAAAAAAAAAAGGATACAGACATCCTGCTGGCATTTATCTAAAATACAAGCCAAAATAGTTCTCTAAACAGTAACACCAGAAACCATCCGCTCCCGCTGGATTTCTAGTGTTGGCTCACTCCAAGGGGACATCAGAACCCAGCTATCAAGCCCCGATAAAAATAATGGGGGGTGAAATTACCCCGAAGCAGACTAAGGTTCTGCCAGGCTGCAAACTTGAGTACCAAAAGTCCAACTGGCCACTGGCCACCTCAGCTCTTACTTCGACTTGTTTTCTTTACTATATCCATAACAACGCAGTGCCAGCTGCAAGTACTCTCGGACAACCCTTCCTATTCAAAGCCATAAACCTCAGCCTGACCACGCACAACATTTTGCAATTGCCCCAAGGGAAACAACCATTTACAGTTCAGGCCGCCTCCTAGTTTTGCTGAGACAACTTGCAACAGTCTAATCTTCCTTACAAGAAGTTACTGGAGCACTTTGGCGACATGTGAGGGACAAAAAAGGAACCCAAAAAGCACTGCCCAGCCTCAAGGAAGCAGCGGGAATACATAACCCGTTTCTGTCATCAGAAGGGTGATGACAAGCGAAAGTGAAACCGTTTCTGTGACAAGTCTACCAAAATGACAAAAAATACCACAGAAATAGGAAGGACAAAGAATTGTGTTTACCCAGTGAAAACAGCCCCGTTTGAGTACATCCTTACAAACAATCTGGATTGAACAAGCTAATGCTCAGGGATTATTTTCCAGGTGATATAAATATTTACTCAGGGAAGTGAGGATCCCTGCTGAAGCTGGAGTTACTTTCAGCCCATCTGGCCTTTGTGCATTTGATAGTCCACTCCTAACTGGCAGATAAACAGAACTGCTGACAGCACATACTTTCTCACATATGTATTCATAGTTTACGTATCTGGATGTGCAGCTGTCTCCTGATTGTTTCCATCTGAGAAAGTACAGATTTCTTTGTGGTCCCCCCCCCATTTCTCGTAAGACAACAAGGAAGAAATCTGGATCATGTGAATAGCATGTCATTTCACTGGAGTCACCCCAAAGAACAGCAATGCACAAGATATTCTTGATGGATGTTCTCAATCTCACAGAAATCACATTATGCCAAAGTTCCATCAATTTCTGATATTTCTGCATATGCAAAGTTGTTACCAACACCTTCTTCCTCTCCAGCGACCTTAAATATTTTCCAACTTGGACAGTATTATCCAGTAAAGAATACAAATTTTCAGTGAACCTGAAGATCCTGGAATACACAGGGCTCTTGCATGAAATCTGACACCTGGAGCATGCTGGCATTATTACCTTAAGGGCAAATCTGAGAGTCTTGGAAAAAGAAATAAAACTCAAGGACAAGGGATTGCTGAAAGCATCAGTCCAAAGGCTAACACATGGAAAGGAAGATAGTGGGTAAAGAGGACATGATGACTGCACGCTGAAAAGAATGTTATTTATGGAAGGCATGCAGCATCTACCCTGAAGGAGCTCTTGCAGAGTCTTAAGAGTCTGAGAGGCTAATGGGACTAGAGACAAATAAGAAACACATACCCTTTGTTAGCAGGAGAAAAAGTGAGGCTGGATTTTGGGTTTCTTCTTTTTTTTTTAAGTGCCTACAGATTAAAATATCTTTAAGCAGATGTTTCAGCCTGAAAACAGTTTTAATCTTACACTGGCAAAGCTTCCTTTCCGTGGAATCAACCTTTTCCTAAAGTGACCTATTCAGAAACCCAGGTGCCTTACCGGAAGAAAAAGGCGCTGGGCAGCACATGGTTTGAATAACTTTTTCCATTCCTGAGCATTTCCTACGGAGAAGGTTATTGGGTAAATGTTGTACTCAAACTTCTTTGTATAGGAGGCAGGCCATTCCTTTAGCTGAAAGACATGGGGGGAGGAATCAGACACTACATGTTATGTAGCTTTTTTGAGAAAAATACGCATGCATAAGGAATTTATAAACCGCGTGCAGTAACGAAGTGCTTAGCTGCTACTTGTTGATTTCAACGTAATTTTGCTCAGAGATTCGTGGCTTATAACTCATTTATTTATTTACCAAATGACAAAGAAACTCACCTTCTTCTCAAATTCAGGCTTCAGGGAATCCTCAGCAAAAATGTGAAAACAGAGCCTCCTGTTGCTAAAGAGAACCGCTGATTTCAGCATGATTAGCGTCTCTTCCAGCCGGTCCCCACATGCCACAACTGCCAGATGCATGCATTGCAAAGATGAAGGCTCTTTCGAATGTTTCTGTTCTCCAGGCTTCCTGAAAAATTATAAATAGGCATATAAAAAAATACTGAGGTAAACACAAAGAGAATTCCGCCTTAATAGACATCAGGGTTTTTCTCTTTCCCCTCATTATGCAGGGGATCAGGAGTTTTATTTTCTGATCAGCTATCCACAGAGGATGCAAGTGGCGTGCCAAGTTTGTCAACGGTACGAATCGAGACTGTTAAAATTACAACACAAAGAAATACGCTATTTTCAGAATTTTCTGGTTATTCCTGCGTTTCTGGATTTGCATAAATCACTGCGCTACCTACACAGATGAAAACAATTCAATAGCACCTCAAACCAGACAACAACTTGCTCTGTGCAAATAGCAGCTTTTTTCCCCCCCGTTTAGAGGTTACGAAGCCAGAATGGATTTATTACTACCTAGCCAACTTCCTAACACTATGCAGATTACAGAACGACACCCAGTAATTTCATTACCAGGCCCCTAACTTCTGGCTAGACTGGAAGGAGACATCCATACTTTAAAAAAATCCACACCATCCATATGTAAATTATTCTAACGGTTAATTAATTTTGCTGTTAAAAATGCATGCCTTAATCCTGGCCTGGAGGTACTGGCGTAGTTTCAAAGGACTGCTCTCCTTTTCACCCCATGGAATCTCTGAGATTTTGCTAAAATAGAGATTTTTAAAAACAAACATATTCACGTCTCGGATGAATCAGTCTATATTCCACAAGCAGTCGAGGGCCAAACTACGGGGTTTTCACTGAGCACTCGTCTGTGTGGGCTTTAAATAAATTTCACCCAGACGACAGGGAAATCTGGGTGTAAAAGGCACGTTGAAGGTACTTGCTAGCCAGAAAAATCATGGTTCTTTTGAGGAGTTGAAGAAGTTCTGAAAGTATGGCATTTTGGTTTTGTGTCCCATCCCCCTGCCATCAGTACGGAGGTAAACTCCCATCCTCCAGGAATGCTTCTACTGTATCGTACTCCCATTCCAACACGGATCACATTTATACTCCATTAGATGGATGTGTGCTGACAGAGCAACTAAATCACAAGCATCGTAATCATTACAGGAGAGTTCAAAAGGCTAATCATAGATCACCACCAGTTCTTGACATATCACTGAACAGAGGACATCAATCCCTGCCCCTCTCAGCACACACAATTACATACATACAATTAATCAGTAAAGCTAATACAAGAAACAAAAGTTCTGAATAAAGAGAGAAATGACAGTTAATGAAGCTGTCATTATCTTTTTCCAGACACTAAAACGCTGCTCTGCATAACAGCCTCATTTTATACTACAGAGTGATCCACTCCCGTGTTAAGGAATATCAGCCAGTGGTACTTTACTGAATATACAAAGCAACATGTTTCATTAAGGGTTTAAAGTCTTAGGCTTTAGTCTTAATTAAACCCCAATTTCATCAGTGCATAAATAATGGAATACTACATCTATCTGAAGTGGTATTTACTTTCCAACCTATTAGTGTAAAACCCACTGAATTATTGAAGTGAATAATTAGCTGCTCACACAGACCCCCTTTTCCCCCCTTCTCCCTATCTCTTTAATGTTTCCTCTTAATTGAGTCTCTAAATCAAGCCATATGCAGGATGAGAACTGCTTTGATATTGCTTGTGGCAACGGAATTCGCTGGGAGAGAGACTAAACTCTCCAGCTTTTATTGCAACATTTCAAAACTCAACGCCAAAGCACTAAGCTTTTCTTTGCACGTGTTAGCCACAGTGAACTCTCCATTATGCAGCTATTTTGCAGGGAAAAATCCAAGGGCAAGCACTTCCGTGCGACAGACTAGACAGAAAGCAACCCTTGCTGAAGGCAGAACGCCCATGGGAGCTATGGATGAACAAGACACCCCACCTGCCAACACAGACACCCGCCCAGCTCCAGAGCGCAGAGGAGAAGGCTGAGCCTTGGAGACGAGGAATTATGAGTCATGAAGGCCTGGGCTGAAGGGGTTCAGGAGCCCGCAATGTCCTACATAGGAAGAAAAATCCCCAAGAAAAGAAGCACGAGGTAGTACTTGAGCTACCTCAGTAGCAGTCCAGGACGCTGAGGGTAAGAGTTAGTGAGGAAAGTAGCAACGAGGTCCAGCAGAATGTTGGGACACAACATTTTGCATCTTTTCTACAAGCACCTGAGGAAACCAAGAGGACTGCGAAAACAAAGGGGAGCTGGGCAGTGAGATAAAAGAAGGCCACAGCAGGATGCATTCAACAGCAGTTTTAGCTTAGCCTTTACAAAATTACTGTTATCACCCAGAAGTTCAAAAAGAGGCAGGTGTAAAGGCAAAGTCAAACTGCCAGGAAAGCAAACGAGCAGGTGAGAGCGAAGAGCATCACAACTCCCCTTCCCTCCTCTGTTTATACATGCACATACGCACAGCACAGCGAGAAGTGACATCTGGATGAAAGGATATCCCTTAAAGATCTGCAGGACATGGCCGACGTCTTCAAACCAAAACAGTTCCAGTTGAACCAACAGCATCTGGGATGCTTCTGCCTCACACAGAATAAACGGCAACGCCGGCTTATCCGGAAGATAAGAGGGCCTGAGGCACGTGTTGGCAAGAGAGAAACTGGAGGTTCACACTTTGCTCGTACCAGTGGAGCAGCTACTTCTTTCCTATGAGGGGTATGTCAGGCTGGGCTCCAGGAGCCTTCTCGTTGGAACAGACTTACTGTGTAACGGAAGGCCTTCCTTCAGCTGAGGTCTCCTCTAAGGCACACACCGAATCCTGCTCCGATACCCGGCACCTCCCCTAACTGCAAGTATTTGTGTTTCGTGCAGTTACCAGCGGCTGACACACACATTCTGGGAAGTTAAGAGTTTTCTGAAACACTACCTGCTCAGATGTTACTAGACAATACAACAAACGGAATAGATGAAGGATGCTTAGCTGCTACTTGTTGGATGCATTCTTTGTTTTAAAGGGTGGAGCACGTTAATACTGTGGTAAATTGTACAAAGGATAAAATTTGTTACACAGAACTAAAAAACCAGCTGGCAAGCAAGAAAAGCTCTACTGCTAGGTCATCAACCTCAGACATTAACAGGCTTTTGACATAGAGAAGTACTCAGGTGGTGACTGAAGGGTAAGTGAGCTCCGCTTTTGGCTCTGTTTCAGAAAGTCAGCCCCAGCAAAGCTTTGGGTGAGTCGTTAATTCTTTCTGCTTCAGTTGTCCTACCTGTAAAATGGGCACAGCTGTTACGGCAGCAATAGTTACCTGCCTCAAGAGCCTTCCAAGCACATTAAAAAACACAGAGTACAATTATTATTATTATTATTAGCCAATTCTTCCTAACGTTTATATACACATTTGTTCATTTATAGTGCAACTTACTGCTCATGGATAGAGTCTACAATTGGATTTTATAACCTAAATTAAACATTTTAAATGCGCCTAAACAACACAGTGACCCAACCCTTAAAGTTTACCGTGTTTGACAAGAACAAATAAACTATGTACACAAGGTGTCTGTTGCCTTGATATCCGTCTTCTAATTTCAGTACACAAACGTAACTTGTCGATATAGTGTAAATCTGACTTGTATAACATGTCAAACTGCTCTCTTCCCCATTTTACCCATCGACTCAAAGAAAATTGCTTCCTGCTCTCCCTCACCTGCTGTTACATCATTATTAGGCTTTAAAATTCAGCACTGTTGCCTAAGACTGAGCACTGCAGAAAGCTTCGCAAAATACTTGCAGAATCCCTATGAAACAGCTGAAGACAGACTTGATAAGTCATAGCAGGACAAAATGTTTACAGCAAGGGCCTTCCAACAGTACAGACCAACTCCCATCCAGTTGCCCAATGGGACTTGAACTACTGCACACGTTTTTTTTCTGACAGGCATGGGTACTGACAGAGCAGCAGCAGCCTGAGTGCTCAAGCACAATAGCGCACATTTCTAGGTCTTAAAAGTTTAGATTAAGTGCAATTTTCTTATTAGTCACAGCCAAAGTGTCTCAAACATAATTAACCCAAAACCTGTCTAAATCAATCCAGATCTATTCAAAATAACGCATTCCCATCTCATTGCAGAGCCTGCTAATCTATTCAAGCCTCCAAATTTATTCCTGAGAGAAAGACAATGCATGCAGATTCTTAGAAAACGCAATATAGTTGTTAGTTCTTGAAACCTTTTTCATATTATGATCTCATTTACTCTTGCAGCACAAACAAGGTTGGATTTAGGCATTGTATCAAAACTGGTGATTCACTGAATAGGCTCCTTTCCTGACAGTCGACACTGAGTCAATGTCCCAACAGTGGCTCCGTTATACGAAACGCATTCTCTCACACACTTTAAAATATAACTCAGAAAGGCTCTAAACGTTTTTAAATAGCTTTCTCACTTTAATGCAGTTGCATAAAACTGACTGTAGCTGCTGACAATCAAAAAATCATTGAAGTTTCAACCTCGTTCTACTGCTCAAAGGGAGAAAACCACTCAAAACCAGAGTGGACGTTTGTATCTTCTTCTTTATCAAGTGGGTTCTTTGTTAGACAAGGATGAGGTATTTGGGCCCTCAGCACGTTATTATAAGTGACCAAACTCAAGCCAAACTTATTTGTGTGTGCACACAGGCTGCAAAGAAAGAAAAAGAATCTTGACAGGTTGCCATATAAGAGATGTTTTGCTTTGGAAAAGTTACTTCCAGGGAACTAAATGTGCTGGCAAAGGTTCACTTCCTGAGCCTTGCCACGCTGGTTTAATAGAAAGTGTGGTCACATCTGCCCTTCAAATGTAAAATAACCCTTCTGCTTTTCGATACTTTGCACACGCACTGGTTTGGCACAATCTTGTGATTCTTCATATGAAAAAAATCTTGCTGAAGGCACAGGACTTGCTGCTTCCAAGAGGAAGGAGCAGTAAAACCACCATCAAAAATCCATTTTTGAAGCTAACCAGAAACTTAAATGCAATGCTCATCTAAAAAAAGCAAAAAGCAGGACCCATCAACATATTTCTCAACATT